TCTAAGTAGGTGCTATAAGTCAAGACAAAGAAATGGAAGGTACAGTCTGTAACATTAAAAAAGAAACTGTCCTTCTTAAACAATTGACCAAAGGATGACATCAGGAAATACAAGGCAGATATAAAAATCAATTGTACCTACATATCAGAAACATAATGCTTGATATAAAAATTGTATAGTCATTTGCCATCAAATCAAAGAGCATCAGTGCTTGAATAAATTTAACAAATTATGCATAATACCTACAATCTAAAGCTTAAATAAACCAGACCTTAAGAAACAACAAGAGGGCTGAGGAAAATGGCTCAATGGGTAAAGTTCTAACCACGCAAGTATGAGGGTCAGAGTTCAAATCCTAGGACCCAGGTAAAGCTGAGCTTGCTAGCAATCTGTGATCTCAGTGCTGCTATATCCAGATGGGAGGTGAAGAAAGAACCCCTAGTAGCTCAGAGCCAGCTAGCTAAGTATAGAACCTCGAACTACAGAGACCTGGTCTCAAAGTGGAAGGCAATATTCAACACCTGAATTCGAGACACACGGTTACACCAGTGCGCCACCATATGCACATAGATTTTTCAAAAGAGAAACTCCTTGTCTGTGAACTAGATTTAACAGTATTAGATGTCAGTTTTCCCAAACTCACTCAATGACTCAGCTCCGAACTAGTAGGCATGATGGAAATTGAACACACTAATTCTAAAACACAGAAGTCCTAGAATTACTAACACAACCCTACACTCCCACACCATTCACTGCATGCTCTACACTTTTTAGTATAAAGCCACAGGAATCAATTTATTGTGCTGCTGGCACAAACAAGACCAAGTGATAGAACAGGCAGCACACAGCACACACACACTTACAAAGCCAACTGAATTTTTTCTTTATCAAAATGCTAGCAAAAGTAATTCAATAAAAGCAAAGTATGTGTAAACAATACTTCAGAAAACACAAAATAATTTATACCAATTGAATAGCAGACACAGACCTAAATGGAAAAGATTTTTTTGAAAGACTACAGAAAGAATTTCTTTGGGGGGTAGGTGTTGGGACAGGGTCCCACATAGCCCAAGCTAACCTCAAACTCACTAGGTAGCCAAGATTGGTGCTTAACTCCTGCCTCAGCTTCCCAAGTATCAGGATTACAAGTGTGCACCTGATGGGAGAGTACTGTGTATATGTCAATAAAGCACTGTTAGCCAATAGGGAAGCAAGATAGATGGGACTAGGAGTCTAGGGGGATTCTGGGAAATGTAGTGAAGAAGCTGGTTGCCATGTGACTCCCGGGAGGAAGAGACACAGCAGGAGTGCATCCTAGCAAAAGATTAAGTTCTTGTAAAATATATATAAGTAATTATGGGTTAATAATCAAGTCAGACTTAGCCAATAAGAAACCAAGCAAACGACCAACAGCTTCATAATTAATATAGTGTCTTGTGTGTTATTTGAGGGTTCAGACAGCTCAGCAGGGCCCAGGTGGATGTCAGGGAAAACTACACGTTACACGCACCATCATGCCTAGGACTTTATAGGAAGAATTGCTGAGAAGATGACAGCTGTGGAGTAATGGATTAGAAGTTTCAAGCACTTAACTGCTTTTGAAGAGGACCTGGGTTCAGTTGCCAGCAACCACATGGAGGCTCACAACCTTCAGTAACTATAGTTCCAGAGATCTAACACCTTCTTTTGACCTGTTAAGGCACCAGGCAACACAGTGCACACACATACATGCAGACAAACCACTCATACACATAAAATAAAATTTGTTTTTTTTAAGATGAAAGGAAAATATTCATCCTCTTCATGTTAGGAAAAAGCTCTTAAACACAAAAATCACTAATCATTACAGTTTAATTATTGAAAGGAAAGGAAAACCCAAACCAGGAAAGGAAAACCCAAACCACTTTCTGTACATATATATCCATAAAATTATTTACATCCAGAATATACTAGTAACATTCAACTCCTATCTCTCTGATCCAAAAATGTTTACTTGTTCAAAGGATATTCACATGATATAGAAGAACACGAAAAGTTACTGAGCTTTAATAAGATTTAGCAAAAGAAAAAAATTCAAAATGGAGTCAAAATGAACATCCTACATACCTACCAAAAGCGGCATAAGTTAGGAAAATGACACTAGTGTTACAGAGAGTATGACTCAGGACTTAGGAAACTATTTGGCACTGTCTACTAAAGCTAACTATGCCTACCCCAGGACACAGGAATTCCATCCCTAGGTTTATATAAAACATAAATGAATGCTTATACCTCACCAAAGATGTAAATAAAATGTTTCTGACAGCAATATTCTGAACAGCCAAAACCATAAGTAACTCTAGCAACCACCAACACTATTATGAATAAAAAAACATATGGCATATTCACACAAAGAAATACTGTGAGCTAGCAAGTGGAAAACTAGGACACAGAGCCAGCATGACAGGTCAGTGGGGAAAGGCACTCGCTGCCAAGCCTGATGATCTGAGCTCAATTTCCAGAAACCCACATGGTGGAAAGAGAGAATCATTCCCACAAGTTGCCCTCCAACCTCTGTGGGCATGCCACGACACATAACACAAATACATACATGCACACAGAAAAAGCAGGGACACTGGAACATAAAGAGATAATAAATGTTAAACAACAGACAAAAAGAAAAACAAGGGTGTGACACATAAGTATAATGTTGAGTATAGAAGCTGGAAACAAGAATATATAGTAATTCTATTAATACAAAATTAAAAATCAGGTCACATAAATCTATAGTAAGAGGAGAGGGCTAGCATGGAATTGGAATTCCACTTAGTATCTTTAAGGCTACAGGAAACAAACTTAAAGAATTCAGATGGGCATTTAAAGTAAATGCTAACAGTTAAAATATTTCTACTAATATCAGACTAATAAATGTCAAAGAGCATCACAGAGATAACAAGAATACTCTATAATGACACAAGAATTCATCATTAAGAAGATAAATCATTGTATTTGTTATCAGAAAAACTGAAAGAAATAAAGAAAGAAAAGAAAAAATTCTCTCAGGAAGAAATAGGTCAGGGAAAAAAAAGAAATATCAAGAAAAAAATGAAAGAAATAGAGAAATAAGTCAACCCCTTTCTCAAGAAATGGCAACTCAATAGAAAATAAAAAATTAAATTTTTAAATAGCTAAATTAATGAATTTGACCTAATAAAATCCAATCACACAAGATATGCTATCTCAGCTCTGATCACATTATAACTCAATGGCGGAAAATCCTTGAGGAGCTTAGATGAACTTTTAAACTCATGGACACAAACCAAAACACATAGAAAACGTAAAATCACACTGCTAATTGGAGCAAACAATAATGGTAACATGACAGCAGTGTTTGGAGGAAAACAGTCTGAATGCACATTCTGATAGAACTAGAAACCAATATGCTAAACTATCTACTTCAGTAAATTAGAAGAATGCACAGCAAGTTAATAAATAACCAAGGAAAATGAAACACTAAAAAGTAGGAATTAGCCAGGCGTTGGTGGTGCACACCTTTAATCCCAGCACATGAGAGGCAGAGGCAGGGGAATCTCTCTGAGTTCCAGACCAGCTTGGTCTACAAGAGCAACTCCAGGACAGCCTCCAAAGCCACAGAGAAACCCTGTCTCAAAAAAACCAAAAAAAAAAAAAAAAAAAGTGGGAATTAATCTACAACAACAAAACTGAAGAGGCTAAAAGTCAATTCAATGAAAAAAAAAAAGATAACTGACAACTCCCTTCCAAGACAAATTTAAAAATGAGATCAAGATCAACCAACAGTCATATGAATCAATAATTGATCAATATAATACTAAGTTCTAAAAATTATATCAGGTGAATAAACTGACACATAAGTTTGAATTCAAGGCTCAGAAGGCTTCACCTGTGAAGCCTGAGAAGCATATAAGGAAAGTGACAGTTACTTCAGGAACTTGCAAAAACAGTGAGAGAGGGAACACTCTTCCCATGAAACCAGCAGAACCAAGACCCCAAAATCTGACGGAGGTATTAAAAGAAAATTACAGGCCAATTTCTGTCCAAAAATCAGGTTAAAAAACTTAAGATGCACACATTTTTAAAGCAAGCCAAATCTACTGATGCATAAAAAGGGTAATGCACACCCAAGCTGGAATCATTTTATAAATATAAAGTTAGTTTAACATTTGAAATTAACAAATGAAGTGCAACACATTAACCAAACAAAAGAGAAAACTGACTAGTATCTCAACAGATGTAGATGAAGCATTTTATCAAAATTCAACACATTTCATTATTTTAAAAGTAAAATTAATACAATGACTAGCCATGAGGTTAACAAATAAAATTCAGCTAATTGCAATTATTTGTATTTTCAACAATTAGAAAATAAAACTTAAGCCATTTTAATTAAAATAATCTCAGGAATACCACACATCTAGTAAACCTGCTAAAAGATGAGGACTCCTCTATACTGATTGAAGTTACAGTCTTATAAAGCCCTAAATAAAAGGAGACACGTATCTTGTGCATGGGCTAGCTGACTCAATCTTAAAACTTCAATTAATTATAAACTCATCTCCAGTTTTAATGGTATCCTAACCCAAACTTCAGATCTCCGTAGCTTGCTCTCTTGCTGTCCCCCTCCCCGTGTGTGTGTGTGTGTGTGTGTGTGTGTGTGTGTGTGTGTAAACAACATTCTAAAGTAATATGAAAACACAAGAAGAGGAAAGACCAGGATCAGGAGGAAGAAACTCTAACAGACTTCTTAGGAGATGAAGCAGCATTAGATAGTGTGGCCTTGGCACAAGAAGGAAAAAACTAGAAACAAAATTCCGTACACATTAAAAGATGAAGCATCATAGAAAACAATTCCAGGCAAAATATTTCACTCATAACTTTAATCTATTTTCTGATCAGCCATATCAATCATAACAGCAAGTAAATATCAATCAGCATTATATTCTAAAACAATTAGCAAACATTCTATAAAAATCATCTCTTACCTCCCCAAAAGCTCCTCGACCAATCACCTTTAATATTTCAAAGTCTTCTCTGTGTAAACGCATTTGCTTCACTTTAGAAGTAAATGGTTTGGCTGAAAACAATAGAACAGTATGAATTACTTTAATGAAAGGTGATACAAATTAGATATACAATAGATGAGTATTTCTTAAACGATAAAAATCCAAATTATAATAAAGAGCTAAACCAAAGAACCTTTAAAATCTAACCAAACTATAGATTTTGTTTGTTTGAGACCAGGTCTTGGGCATGTAGCCCTTACTGGCCTTCAACTCACTGCGTAGCCCAGGCAAATTTGTAATTCTCCTGCCTCTGCCTTTAGTAGTGCTAGGGTTGGGCCGGGCGTTGGTGATACAAACCAGCACTCGGGAGGCAGATGCAGGTGGATCTCTGTGAGTTCGAGGCCAGCCTGGTCTACAGAGCGAGTTCCATGACAGCCTCCAAAACAATACAGAGAAATCCTATCTCGAAAAAAACAAAAACAAAAAATAAAAAAAAGAAATGCTAGGGTTGCAGGTGTGTTGTGTGTGTTGTATCTGTCTGTTTTGCATGTTTGCATGTGCAGGTGCACATGTGTGAGCCGCACATGTATGTACAAGTACAGATGAAAAGACAACTTTGAATAAGTGAATAGTACACTGAACTTCCTGAGACAATAATATATACATTTATGTTACTACTATATGCTTCCACAAAATCTGTATACTTGTCAGATTCTTGTTTCTCATATATAATTCTACAGCATTGGTTTGCCTTATGTTTTTAGGGAATATGCTTCTGTGTAGAAATATACGATCCTTTATTTCTTCTTAAGACACACATTCTTTTACCTTTGCTAAAACATTTTAACAACTATGAGCTTATGTGAATCAAATTTCAATTACTCTGGCTTAAAAACAGTTTATTTCAATGCTGTCAGTTTGTCAAGGATTTTACAAGATGCTAAACATACTAATATGAAAATAAAAAGCAACAAAATCTTGTTTCTAAATAAATTATGCAAAAAACTTTTTAAAATTTTCAGTGTCGATGACTGAAAATTACTAATTTTTTAAAAATCATGGTACATGCTACAAAAAAATGAGGGAAATAAAAATTAACAGGATTCTCTTATTTAGTAACTAAATATACCTATTTTTTGCTTAAAAAATTCTGCAACTGCTAAGGGTTGACAAGAATATAACTGAGAGGCACAGTAATGTTTAACTCCTGGAACTGTTCCTTGGCTCTGAAATTCTTATTTTCTTTTTCATAGTCTTAACAGGGCATGCTACTGCTTAGGTAGCCTTAAGAACTTGAACCCTTCTTCTTCTTCTTCTTCTTTTTTTTTTTTTTTAGTAAACCCTTCTTTTGACTTTAATGATTCTTTCAATGCACAGCTGAAATTTTTCTGCTTTGATTTCATTTAGAACTTTTCCTTCTGTGTTTATAAACAAATTTTGTCTATAATTATCTTTCCTCTGTAATGTGTGCACCTAGTTTGGCACCAATAAGGAGCCCAGCTCACTAAGCCTGCAAGTTTTCATCCCTTTACTGTTCACTGAAGCATCATCATTTCAGTTTGTTTAAAAATGTGTGAAAACACATCAATAAAACCTTTAAAAGACAATACAAAACATCTAGCATGTGTGTCTTTTCAGTGGACTTTTGAAAACTGATTCATTACAAATCTACAAATGACAACCATGCCCACAAACAGATATGCACACAGGCATTCACAAATAATTTTTAAAAAATTTTTAAAGGACTTAAAAGGATTATTTATAAAAAGTGCTTCTCTCTCTCTCTCTCTCTCTCTCTCTCTCTCTCTCTCTCTCTCTCTGTCTGTCTCTCTGTCTCTCTGTTTCTCTGTTTTGTTTTTCAAGACAGGGTTTCTCTGTGTAGCTTTGAAGCCTGTTCTGGAACTAGCTCTGTAGACCAGACTAGCCTTGAACTCACAGAGATCTACCTGCCTCTGCCTCTCGAGTGCTGTGTTTTTTGTTTGTTTGTTTTTTTAAATACCACATATAAGAAATTGAACAAAATTACTAGACTCCCTGAATATAGGTGACAATGGTGCAGCTGGGGTAATATTTGAGGCCACTAACAGGGGGTCCAAGATTTATCTCTAATGTACAAACTGACTTAGTGGAGCCCATTCTATATGGAGAGATACCTTGTTCAGCCTAGACACGAGAAAGGGGGTCCTGTCTCAACAAGACGATGGGACAGACTCAGTAGACTTGGAGCAGATGGGAGGTGGGGTGGAGAGAAGTAGGGGCAGCGGGAGGAGAGGAGGGAGGGGGAATTGGGACTGGAATGTAAAAAAAATAATGAAATAAATTACAATGCTACTGAGATTAAATTAGCAAAATTATCATAAGCAACCTATGTTGCCAAATTAATTGTGACAAATTATTCTTACAGAGTAGTTAACTGTTTTTCAAAATTGAAAGTCTAAATCATTCAATAAATTGAATCAGGGTGTTAGTCTTCCACAAAGAAACCACCACAAAAAAAAAAGGCATGCCATGGAACACTCTAAAGGCACAGAAGAAATCACTGGCACACAGGTATCTCCCAAGAGCAAAGAGACTACACAGCATCCAAATGAAGCTTTCTATTTATCATCTTCTGAAGACCATGGTCCTGGAGAGAGACCTGGAACTAACACCACAGAAAGTGTAGTGACTCCAAGTGGAGAGCAGTAGGAAGTAATGCAGTATCACAGTGGACCTGCAACTGCCCAAGGTAAATCATCAGAATCTAATCAGCAGCAAACAATTGGACAAACTTGAATGAGGGACCAAGACTACAAAATAAATGACTTGTGGCATGATAAGTTTCAAAATGGAGCAGTAACATGAAAGATGAAGCCTGTTCCTCAATGAGACAAGGCAACTAAATGCAGGGAATAATTATGGACTAGATTCTGAATCACAACATTAAAAATGGAGGTTAATGTACAGATATTATTAGAACAAACTCTTCACCGAGTTTGACCTGAATTCAATCCCCAGAAACCGCATGGTAGAAGAGAACAGACTCCAGCAATTGTTCTCTGACACCACACATGTCACTAAAGGATATAAATGGAGCGCGCGCGCGCACACACACACACACACACACACCACCACCACCACACGTCACTAAAGGATATAAATGGAGCGCGCGCGCGCACACGCACACACACATACACACACACACAAAGCAAATAAATGTAATTTTAAAAGTTCTTAATTATTATAAAGTTAAATGTTAAGTTGATTATTATACTACAAAGCAATACAAGACAGAGTCTTTATTCTAAGGAAATAGATGAAGAACTATGTAAAGCTATAATGTCTTGGTATCAATAAATAATTTATCTTTAGAAGGTTCAGCAAAATAATGTATTCATGTTTGTGTACAGAGAAAACAAAGAATGACACAATGTCCAAAAACAAAGCAAACAGATCAATCTAGAAAAGTATATGGAAATTCATTAAGCTGTTCCTGCAACTTCTAATTCCTCAATTTTCTTTTTTAAAAAGTCTACAGTTGTTTTACCTGTCAAACATAAAATACTGCTTGCAATGGTATATAAATAGCCATTTTGTGAGACAATCATTCAAAGGGATATTATTCATACATACAAAGACATGAAGTATCAAGCCACAGAAAGACACAAATGACTCTTCAATGCATGTTGTTGAGTCTAAGACTGAGTTCGACAGCACATCCTACTCATGAATCTTCAGTAGATTGAGATTTTCAAAATATAGTTTTAAAAACAAGATTCAACTTTTATAAAAAGTAAAGGAAGTATTAATTCAAAATCATGTGAGAAATAAAAATCCGAAATATCAAATAACACCAAAACTCAGACTCACTGCTCATGCACTTGCAGAATTTCAGTCAATGGAAAGATCAGGAACATGGAAAGGATGCCTGGCTTTGGTCACTTGTATTCAGCACAAGACTACAAGTTAAAGCCTGAGCAAGTAGATCAGAATAAATAAATAATGAAAGCTATCTAAACAGGATAGGAGAAAATGTTTGCAGGTGGCATGAAAACACTCAGGAATATGGGAAATGCAAAGTAAATAAAGGAATTCAGCAAAGCTACAGGATATAAAATCAATACACAAAAGTCAGCTGCATTTCATACTTTATAGGAAACCTACAGTTAGTTAGTTGTTGCTTAGAGCTAATATCCTTTATATGGCAGCTAATGAATGTAGAACTTTCTTGGGATGTGACAAAAAAAAAAAGGCCTAAAATTGAGCTGTAGATAACACAACCATGAGCAAACTAAACACATTAAACTGTATTCTTTACGTCAGTGAATTGTCCGATATAAATAAGATCTCATTAAAAACTACTTTAAGAATCAGTTTGGAACAGCAGGCTAATGGTACAAGCCTACACAGCTACACAGGGGGCTGAGGATCACAAGTCTACAGCCTGACTGGGCTATAGACTGAGTTCAAGCCAGCCTGGACAACTTAAACTTTGACTCAAGAAGAGGAGGAATGGAGATTTTCTATATATTTGCAATAAATAATTAGAAAATATTTAAATTACATTTACAAATGAAATACACAATAAAGCAGCCAGGTGTGGTGGTGTATCCTTTAATCCCAGCATTTGGTAGACAAAAGTAGGCTGATCACTCTGAGTTTGAAGTCAGCTTTGACTATATAAGAGAGTTTCAAGTCAAACAAGTTTACATAGTGAGACCCTGTCCTAAAACAAACAAAAACAATACAAAAATTAGGAATAAATTTAACAAAGGAGGTGAGACACTTGTATACTGAAAACTATAAAAATGTTGCTTTAAAAAAAATGAAATGCAGTCTAAGTGAATGGAAAGACATTCCATATTCTGGATTGAAAAGATTTAATACAGCTAAAATGCCATCACACCCAAATAACTAACTGAGTCTGGACAATACCCACAACATTATAATGGTACTTCTGGTAAAAACAGAAAAACCTACCCTAAAGTTCATATGAAATCTCAATGTAGATTGGATAGCCAAAACAATCTGTAAATAAGAGATGTTGCTCACATCATTTTAAAACTCACTACAAAACTACAATAGCCCAAAA